ACTGCCTCTTGATGTATTACATCTCATATATGTCAAGGGCAAAACCATCTGGTGCACTAATGTTTATAATATTTTGGCACTTCAGTTTATTGTGTGTAATATCAAACTGTGTCACTTTTGGTCATCTCTTCTTCAGCTGTCCCATGAGATACTCAAAAATTTAAACAGATATTGATAAGGAAAGGTAAACATTGGATGCCATATTTTGTTCATCCATAATTCAGCTCTCTCAGGAGATGCTTGAGGTGGGCTTTTATTGCATAAGTATAAGGAAAGCTAAAATTTCTGGTCATCTATACCTCAATTGTCCTTTAAAACACTTGTAAAGTTAATCAGTCTTTCATGATGAGTGAGGTTAAGTATTAAATCTTATTCCTGTAAATTGTACAGTGTGTGATGGATAAATTGTCAAAAAAATTACACAAAAATGAAAATAATACTAACATCTCATTTTAACACATATATTTTCCAAAGTTGCACAAAAATATCTTGAAATACTAAAGAGTGAATTTATTCAATAAATTTGCCATTGGCTTCAACCGCAACCTCCAGACAACTTTGGAATCCTTGGCAACTTTTCTGGATGCTCTCCTTGTTTAAGTTGGTGAATGTTGCCATAATCCTTGCCTTCAGTTCATCTTTGGTATTACAAGGAGTTTCGGTGGTCAACTGCACCCCACACATAATAATCAAGTAGCCATATATAAGTGATGATGTGGTCACAGAAATTGTCTGACAGCCATGATTGGGTTCACCTGCTTGTGTGGTATGGTGCAGAGTCCTGTTACCAGACATAGGGTTTTCCAACAGCTGCCCTCTTAACCCAAGGTAGCATTACCTGCTCAAGGCACTTGATGTAAGCCTTCCTTTTGATTCTGAGGCCCTCACCAACAAATTCGGGAGTTCTTTTTTTTTTTTTTTTTATCCTAATGATCTGAGTTTTCCAAGCTACCATACTTTTGTAATCACTATTAGACTCCTCCAACTCTTTCTGAATCCTCTGCACTGTCCTCAGATGACACCCAGACACTCTGAAATATTTGTATTGGAGCTTCCGGCATGACTGCCACGCCGTACAGCATGTTATTTCCAAATTTATGGTAGAGTGAATTGTGTCATGATGCCTAACTGACCTTACTATACTATGCAGCTGACAAGATCAAAAACAAATGATGTGCATGCATGAAATTAAAAATATAAAATGTTGACAATTTATCAATCACACCCAGTATACAAATATACATTGACATCTATTGAATTGTGAAATCTTGCTGGAATAGATGGAGATATTGGCCAGGGTAAGGTTCTTAGCAGATAATTATCTCTTCCATGTTGCCTGATGGTGTCTGTCTCTGTGGTGAGAACTCCATTATTTGCTTGACTGACTATGCATTCATCTCAGTTCAATCCCTTTGTTGTATGGAAGGCAAACTCTTGGTTTGATGGAATAATCATTTTCCTTCTCCTGTTCTTGCAATCAGATCTGCAGCTGCAAGAACCATTTTTCCCAATCTCTCCAATTATCACTGCCTACTCAAAGAAGTCTTTCTGCCAACCAGACGGCCAACCATTCTATTCACACTCATCTTTGATGTTTTAGAGGCAAAATATTTGAAAACGATAAATGTTGACTAAAAACCAATGATGCGAGAGTAACAGTTCTTTTGGATTTCATACTAAAATTATTATCTTGCTTTCAAAATAATAAGAAACAAATCCATGCCAAAAAGTAGTCTTTTTTTTTTTTTACTCAGAAGTTTTAGTGAATTTCTTCTCACAAGTTGGTTGTCCTTCTTTGCTTCTACATGCTTCCTGCCTGGCAGTATTTGTGATGCACCTGTGCTGGCTGTTGCAGTTCTGCAACAAATGCACTTGAGAGTGGTAAAGGTTCTTTCACCAATGACTGCTACCACACAATCATCTATGAGCATGTGCATAAATTCAGCTGCATTTTTCAGTCAATAGATTTTATTAGTAATCAATAATCCGTATCTGATTTGCAGAACAAAACTCATTTTGATCATCAGAGATTTTCTTTTTGTGGGTTCATCCTTTTGGAGTTCGGCTGCATGAAAAGAATGTTGCTGCTTTGCAAACTGCTGGGTCACACGGGCACTTGTTAGTACACCTGTCCACTTACCTTAAATACTGACTCCAGGTTAATAATTCCTTGGTTTTTGTTACAGAGTTAAGCTGTTAACCTTACATGCACATATATGAAGAGAAACTTTGTTTATTGCATGCATTTTAGAAACATTCATTTTTCACTTTTTAAGTAAGTTTGGCAAATGAAACTTCCAATAAACTTTAGTCCTTGCAGACAAAAACAGCAAGGTTGGTATATTCAGTTCATCACTGAAAACTCAGCAACAACTAAATTCTGAAATATTTATTCAATATATTGAGTAATTACATCTTTTTCACATCAACCATGGAAGAAAGGTACATAAAATATGTTTAATATTTCATTAATGTTTAATCTTTGTGCCTGCAAAATAAGAGTGTTAAAAGAATAATTATTCCCTTGATACTGCTATTACTGCATACACTTTTGATTCCCTCAGCAATGTTTAGTTACAGGATTATATGTAGAGTAATTGACCATAGTTAAATGTAATTGTCAGAAATGCCCACCAAACAGAATTGATAAAGTTTGCAATAAACAATAAAAAAGAAAAAGAAAAGAAAAGGGCAAAAATAATACTAAGCAAACAATATATGCAAGACAAAAGTAGGCAAAACAACATTAATGAGGCAAAAAGGGTCACAAACTAAGAATGGTGTTAACACACAAAATGGATACGGACAAGACAAGAAAGGATAGAAATATGAAGGATGAGACCGAGAAGTGGTCTATCTTAGTGGCTAGGAAGTAATCCCAGCATGCATCTGTATGTTTTGTCTATAAATTTGGGTAGAGGGATGTTTTTGCAATCCTCCCTATATAAATTGGAACCAAAATTATAAAAATATGTGAACAAAGTACAAGGCAATATTTATTATTTACCAAATATTCTTGGGAAAGGTAATAGAATGGTTTCCAGTTGCCTTCTCCACAGTTTGTAATTCAGTTTTTGTTCTGTTCGATTTGCTGACACCCCAAAATACAAAGCCTAGTCTATTCTGCTATTTAATCCCTATTTGAGGGGAGAAGAGCGATCTATACCTTTTCCAAAACAGTAGTGCAAAAGGGTTTTATATATTAAATACAATGACTAAAAGAATCCTTTAAATTATTTGAATCTTTTTTAGTACTTAATGAATAAGAAGAAATGCTTTGGCAGTATACAAAAATAATGCCCATGTTAGCTCACTGATGCTTTAATTATGGCCTTGTGCCAGTTTATTTTAACATTATTATATAACAATAAGAATTTTTTTTTTTTAACATTTTGTTTGATTTGTTTCTGATCTTCATCCAAGCAAATTTGGTCAGTATATAACAGGTTGACTGTCAACAGATTCTAGTGTTTGATTTTCTTGGAAAAATGTTACTAGTATCAATATAAGTTATTACTTATCTTTTATTTCCCCCTTTGCAAGCCAACCATAGCTTGAGATTGTATCTATTCAGTTGCCTATGATTAGTCCTTTTTTAGTAATTATTGGGATGCACAAACATGATTAAACTGTGAATTTGGGTGAAAATATAAACTTCTCATGAGCTTTGCTTTTGTTCTTCTTTTCCCAAATGTATTTGGGAAGTCATTTAAATAGGCATTCTTTGTAATTTCTGTTTATTCTCATATTACTGATTAAGAATTTTTTTTCCCATTGAAAAACACTTGTAGAACTATTCCTGCTTTCTCTTTGTAGACCGGAATATTATATACACTATAATCATTAATATTCAAAAATTTACTCCTAGAGAATGAAAAACAGAACTCACAGACAAAATGGGTCCATCTGTAAATTTACCAGCTTTTAATTATTATTAATTATTTTAATTATAATTTAATAAGCAGTTGGTGATCTAAATTGTGAACACTTAAATCCATTTAGCTTTTTAAAAATTAACTTATCTTTAACAAAGACAAGAATGACATATATTTCTCTATAATCTTCTATATAAATAAAACACAGTGTATGTGTGTCTGTCCGTCAGTCTGGTTTTTGATCTCGGCAATTCATAAATAACCCGACATAACAAACAGTAGCTACTATAGTTACACACGATTAAAAATTAAATAAATAACTCATTTAAAGTTAAATTTAAATATTGAATGAGGTGAAAGGTTTAAAAAAACAATTCTTTATTAAAGGTTTAACTATAATTTCACTTTTCAATGCAAGTGCAATTGATATTATCTAATTAAACCATAATTAAAACTGAAGTGGGGCATGGTAAATTGCTCATATGTTTTTTATTTTCTTTTTCTAGTATGTGTACTGTGACATATTCAAAATATTACATAATTTGAGTACCCTAATGTCTTTTAAGAGTGATTTTATGTGAAAGGATCATAAAGAATGGTGATTTTAAAAAAAAAAAAAAAAAAAGTACAGAGATGGGTTGCATATACAAAGAAAGATTATGCCAAATTAAGGTGTCAAATAAAGATATAATAAATTTATATTATTTCTAAATTCTTATAATTTTTACGTACATAGGACAGTGAAGGTAAAAAACTGAAGACCCAAAAGCCCTTCGCAGAATCTAGCCTGAAGTGCGACTTCTCAGCTAGTTTTAGAAATATTTACTAGATTTGTTTAAAATCATTTGGAAAACAATTGTCAGTTTCAATGTGTGGAAGTGATTGATTTACTTTCTATGGCTTCTTAACACATGGTAGTTTATTTAAAGCCAGAAAATATTTTTTTTAATGAGACAATAATGGTAATAATTGATATGTCTTACTACTTAACCCATATCTTGGGGGGGAGAAGAGGTGGATTCATACTTTTCCTAAGAATGTTTGCTTATATGTGAATATAATGAGCCCCACAGTAATTGGAATGTTGCTCTCTGTTTAACAATTGCCCCACCACACATCCAAGTTTACAGAACATGCTATTCCTAAGTGGTCACCCATCAAAGTACTGACCAAGCTCAACATTGCTTAACTTCAGTGATCATATGGGAACCAGTGTTTTGATATGATGGGGTCATAAGGTGTGTGTAAGTGAAAAATGTTCTGTTAGTTTAACTTTTGTATGTAAATTTTCTAATAATCAGTATTTTGAAATAAAAGGAATATTGCTTTGTAAAATAATCTACCAAAACAAAACAAAAAACATTTCATGTTGGCTGTTGAAATTTTTCTCGTGTTCTCTCAAAAATCTCAAAAAAACCACAACTCATTCTAAAATTGTTGTTTGCCCTGACCCTCATGAACATGGCATCCCACACAGAAGGAAACTATTTTCTACTATTTGATCAGCTTTTGGCTTCAAACTATGTACTTATGATTATTATTATGGCTTTTATTCTTACTACAAACTCTGATGCCAGACAATCTATTGCAAGACTCCAATATCTGATGTTTTGCCAATACAATGAAAGCCAGAAAACTTTGATTTTTTTTTTCTTTTATCTAAATCAAAATGCAGTTCTGTTTTTATTTTGTTTTCTCTTTCATAGTTGATTTAAAGTTTTCTTATTTGAACAACTAATGAGTCTATTTGATGTTTGGGTCAGTTTTATTTCTCTTTTTCTTTCACTTTTTGAACAACAACTGTTATTTTATTTAGTTAAAACATAACTGATTTGTATAGTGCATGTTGTACAAATGTTAGGATGTTTCTTTTATGAGTTTTACACTGGAAACTGTTTCTATTTATAATGTATAAAATATTGAATCTGATTTCTTTAAGAATTTCACAGAAACAGGTGCAGAAAATGAAAATTGATTGTGTCAAGATGGATTGAATATTTCTTTTTAATCCATCTTGAATTTGGGATTCTTGGCTGTTTCTCTCTGAACAGCTGTGAAATCTTTTCTTCTTGAAAACTACTTGAGATCATTTACAATTTCTGAAGGACAAAAAGCAATTGTTTTTCTCTGAAAGTTCTTGTGAGGAATGGATGAGAAGACCGACCTTAAGTGTGGCTGTTTTTATTTTCTTGAATGCAATGAATGATGAACATAGGCATGGAAGCGGACGTTTCTCAATACAGAGAATTTAATTTCATTCATATATTATCTCAAGAAGATTTCAAAGACAACAGAACTACTTCTCTTTCCACCCACTCTCCAAGCTCTCCTTTTATTTAAATTCTGTTTTATTTATTTGGGATCTGCTCTGGTTTTCCACTTTGGTTGTTCAAAACTCAATTTTCTTATTGAAAATTAGAATCATATTATTATTTATTTTATGCTATTAAAAAAAAGACAATATTTTGTAATTGTTAAAAGTGTCTATTGTTCAAGGATACTACATGCATATTCTGAAAAGGTTAAATTTTATATAAAAACATTCTTATATTATTCTTTTACAGTGAATAATTGCACTAAATGGTATGTGTGTGTGTGTATGTATATATATATATATATATAATTATTTAGTTAAAAATATGATTCCATCGCTACATAAGAGTTCTCATGTTTCAAAACAAGAGCTGAAAACTTCAATATATTTATTTGAATTAAATTGAATTAAAGTACCAAGCTCTGTTCCATCTTCAAGCAAAATTTTTTTTTTTGGAATAACTAATTCCTGAAATTTACGCGTTTTATAAGCATATTCATTATTAAAATTACTATGGTAACGGCTAGAGCAATAATTTTGAAAAAAGGGGCATAAGGGTTAATAATTTGTATCAATATCTCGGTTACATTCAAAGAGGTCAGGGTAAGGTTGGGGGTGTCTAAATTTAAAGCGGAAGATGACATCGTCTAGTCTGGTTAAGTGTCTATGGAGATTTTTTTTTTTTTATTGAGTAGGGTATTTAAACTTTTTATTTAGACTATGGAGTTTAAAATTTGTATTATTTTATTGTTTGTGTTTTAAGCTAATTATTCAATGCAAAAATTTGATGATGTTGGCAAAAAACCATTAACTCATGTCTATTGTTTAATAAATTTTTATTATTTAGAAACTTGATAATGTGTAGTTTTTCATGTAGGCATAAAGGGCATGGGTCATCCCAAGTTTTACAAGTTCTGGTTTTGTTTATAATTTTCCATTTTACTTTTGGTGTTTTATTCATTTCCTTCAAATGCCAAAAATATTTAGATAGAGATGTTTGATTTCTTTTATTAATATTGTTGAAGGAGCACTTATGCTGCCTACATCTGGTTTTAAATTCATTCTTCGTAGACCCAATATATTAGTATTAGGACTTTCAATGGATGAGATAGTACATTGGTATACCACAGATTTTACGTGGAATTTATTTTCCATTGAGCAGTCTTCTGGGTTTCTACAATCACATAATTTTTCACTATTTTTGTCTAATTTAAGTGTAGGGTTTTTATTAATACTATTCTGGCATGGGGGTTTATTCAGGATTTTATTATTGTGTTTTTTTATTATACTTTCTAGATTTTCAGTGCAACTGTAACTTAATTTTAGGTTGTTTTTATTAAATATTTTACTAAGTCTACTATTAGTAGGAAAGTGTTTTTCAATTAAAGCTAAGAATTTCTGTCCTAGCTTGATACTAACCATTTGGTTGAACAGAGGGGTATACCAAATGATTTTTCTTTTCCTGTTTTTCTTCTGGTTAGTACAATTGTTTCTATAATTGATGTTAGCATTTTTGTATCCACTATTTTTTAGGGCTGTGTTATAAAAATTACTGTGTTATTGGAATATTTCTTTATTAACGGAGTTAATACTGATTCTATTCTCTATTGATGAGGGTATATGCTTAATTATGGATGGAGGATGGTTTGACTTAGGGTGTATATACAAGGGGTTAGTATTAGGTTTTCTATAAGGTAGGTATGTGTTGTTTGTTAAATCTAGAGTTACGTCGAGGAAGTTTACCCTTTTTAATTTAGTACAGACTGTTGTTTTTAAATTTAGATTTCTAAATTCACTATATATAATATTTCTAATTTTCTCTATTTTAAAATTAGTGGAACTCCTCACTACCATGAGCCCATCATCTCTATACAGCCCAATGTCCTTAATATCTAATTCATGATGCGTGGTCAGGTTGTACAGTATTAAAAGACCAACAAGGTCAGAAGACTCTGCAGAGTCTAAAGATCCCATAGTGATGTCAATAATGGTCATTATTGTTTTTAATCCATTGGTCCCGATTATGAATGAGGACAGATTTTTTTGCACTGAGAATTATATTTATTTCTTCCTTTGTTAGGTCAGAATACACAGCAGCAAACTCCAGGGCAGTCGTGAACAGATCCTTCGATATTGATGGGTAGTAATCCACAATATTGTACTGTAATAGGGTGCAATCAGGTTTATTATTAATATTGGTAAACCAATTGATGACATCTTTGGTATTAAACCATAATTTTAATCCAAGGTGGTTTTTAATTTTTATATATATATATATATAAAATGATATTAAGGATTTCTATCCATCTATTACTGAAAAGTGCTTATTGGAGGCCTTGATGCTTGCCAAAGACTTTGTATACTTAAAGCCCGAACATATTTTGATGTCCCCCAAGGATCATTTCTTATAGGAATATACATTTTAAATAAAATAAATAAAATTGTCCACATTGATGACCATGGAATATACCAGGAAAATGGACTGATAGTGGTACCAGATAATAGAAGAAATAACGATTCCATCAGGAAAAAGATACACAGGATATTTAAAGATCTAGATTTCAACATCACTGTGGATATCAACAGGAAGGTAGTCCAGTTTTTGGACATAGAACTAAACCTTTTGACTGAAACCATCTCACCTTTCATAAAATCTAATACGGCTTTGAGATATATTAATATGGCATCCAACCACCCGTCAAGTGTAATTAAACATATCCTGTTGGGCATACAATGCAGATTGTCAAAAAATTCTTCAAATGAAGAAATATTCACTGACAAAAAGAAAATATATGTATCTTCCTTAAGAGAGGAGGGGCATAACACCAGCCTGTGTTTCAAGGACCAAGCAAACCCAAGAACAGATACAGAATAGAAAAAGAAAAAGGAATATCATCTGGTTCAAACCATCCTTTAAAGTAAAAACAAATATAGAGAAAATGTTTTTTTAGTCTTCTAAATAAGCACTTCCTGAAAGCATCAAGACTGTACAAGTTATTTAACCACAATACATTCAAATTGAGCTACAATTGCACTAGAAACATAGGCAATATTATCAAAAGATTGAACAAAAAAAATTCAAATTTTGAAGAGGATGTGAGAGGTGAAAACAAGGTCCTTTGAAATTGTAGGATACCTTAAAACTAACATATATATATATATATATATATAAGTGGACATTGTAGTCAACACCCAGCGGCAGTCTGTTTCATGCTTATATGCAATTGTCAGGCCTGTCACTAATGGGTGTTGACTTCAATATCCATTCTTATATTTACATATGCTCTATCCCTGATATTCAGTACTTTAACCATAAATGTGGCATTTGCACCAGAAGCTCCAATACGATCATTTCAGAGTGTTTGGGTGTCAATCTGAGGACAGTGCAGAGGATTTGGAAAGAGTTAGGTGAGTCTAATGGTGATTACGAAGTTGTTTGGCATGATAAATTATGAATCTTTATAAAAGGTAAATAATAAATTATCACATTGTACTTTGTTCGTATATTTTATAATCATGTAAAGAATTATTGCCAAGGGAGTCAAGTGTATCCAGTAATGGCAGTATCAAGAGAATAACTGTCCTTTTGAAACACTGTTTCTTTTGTAGGGACAAAGGTTAACATTGCTGAAATTTTACTGAAAAGTGATGAAAATTGCTGCTACTAAAGTTTGTAGAAAGCAAGGTGCATTATATGATTAAAGTCAGCACAAGTTGTGAAGCATTAAAAAAATTGAGGTAGAATTAAGTTGATTAGAGTAGAATTATGGAGTGAGTAAATTTCAGTTTTTAAAGTTTCTTGGCTAAAAAAAATGTCAATCAATGTTAGAGATCAATAGAATTCTAAAGTTGATAACTTATAGTCTTCCATACAATTTAGTTCAACTTCTATGTGCCATATCTCTT